AGCAGATGTGGACTAGGGCCTACGTGATATCTGTACGCTGCTTTTTTTATGGTTCTGGTACTAAGGGTACAATACTTACCCGCCGTTTGTTGTATTAGAGAGTGATTTGCATGTTGTTGCTTACTCTTCAATTTAGGCATGCATGTACTTGCTTGTTTATTGGTTTACTCTTAAGAGCACAACACTTGTCTGCCAGTTGTTGTAAAGCTATGCCACTGATGTCTCAAGTATCTGCAGGTTTTACATGGTGAACAGGTTCCAGCAGCACTTTCAGATTTAAAACAGAGTAGGAAGCAAGATTGGCTATCCACTTCTGAAATAACAGAGCTCCAAACCCTTGAGAGAAATTAGAGAATGATTTTTCAGGAGGCTGTAAATCACACAGAAGGAGATTGTCTATCTTTCTCCTGTGGAGCAGTTAGGTGGATTAAAACAGCCAACAGAGGCTGCAGGGAATTCAAAAATCCCCTCTCTGGAGAGGCCTGTGGATAACAGCACAACTCTTTATGGCCTATTCCAACCAGAGCTAAATTATATATGTAGAGCATTTTTATTAGTTTTGTGTCAGTTTTAAAATTTAGTGTTAGTATTGTTTTTGTTAGGTGCCATTTATTCAGTTCCAAATCATAACAACCCTATCTATAATAAAATGAATGCCTGGCCGTGAACCTCCATTGTAAAGTGAATGAGTCAGTCTGTCTTGGGGAGGTTCTTCCCTTTTCCACTAAATTTACAAAACATAATGTCCTCTGCCAACACTCTCGGCACCAGCAGCCAGGAAATCAAGAAACATATTGCGATGGGAAAGTCTGCTGTTAGGGACCTCTCTAAAGTACTCAAGAGCAGCGGTGTCTCTCTGGAGACTAAGGTGCACCTGATACAGGCCATGGTCTTTGCAATCACTTGTTATGCATCAGAGAGTTGGACAATGACTAGGGAGGACAGAAGGAGAATTGATGCCTTTGAGCTGTGGTGCTGGAGAAGAGTATTGAACGTACCGTGGACTGCTAAGAAAACAAACAGATTCATCCTGGAGAGGGTTAAATCAGGCTGCTCCTTGGAGGCAAGGATTCTGGGGCTTCATCTGACATACTTTGGACATGTTGTAAGGAGAGACAGGTCCTTGGAGAGGGACATCATGCTTGGTAGGGTGGAGGGACAGCGCAGGAGAGGAAGACCCTCCATGAGATGGATTGATTCAGTGACTGGGGTAATCGGGATGGGTGTTTTAGAGGCAATGCAATTGGCACAGGATAGAGGAGGGTTTAGGGCTGTTGTACATAGGGTCTCTATGAGTAGCAAATGACTCGACGGCACATGACAACAACAACAATGTCCTCTGCCAGGATTAGTTGATCCTGATAGGATGTCCAATGTATGTGAGAGGTATTTCACTATCTTTGCCCCTAAGGAGCATTCTGATGGTATTTCTTCCAAGACAGATTTGTTCTGACAATCTATGGTATATTCAAAATACTTCATCGGGATGATAATTCAAATGCATCAGTTCTTCTTTGGTTTTCTTTATTTATTGTCGAACTTTCACTTGCAAGAAAGTAATTGAAAAACCTTATGGCTTGGATCAGGTATAGATAGGGAGCTCTGGTCCCTAAATGGTATTGCATTGACAGCCCAAAGGAATGCAGTTCATATCAACCAACTGCTCCATGAGAGAAATATGGGAAATCTTCTACCATGAGATTTACTGCCTCTGAAAACTCACTGGAGCATCAACTATGCATTGTTTCTCACTTAATGATATATAACAACATCACCAGTGGATTGTACTTTAATCTTTAAACTTACATTGTTCCTTAGAGCTTTGTAGGAAGCCTTAACAGCAGATTTTTCCCAGTGCGATATGTCTTTTGTCTTCTTGACTGTTAGTACCAAGGTGTTAGTGTGGATCCAAGTTAGATGAACTCGTTAACAATTTCAATCCTGATCTTGCCTGTTGGCCCAGTGGTGAGATTTTTGTATTCTTGATTTTATCGAAGGCTAGTGTTAGATCTTCTACACAAGTGCTTCTGGTCTTTTTGTCTTTCAGAAAGCAAGGTGGTCATCTGCATAATGCAGATTGTTGATGCATCTTTCACTGCTCCCGATGCCACATTCATTTTTATAAAGTCCAGTTTCCCAAATAATTTGTTCAGCATACAGAGTGCTTTTTAAAAATAAGGATGCTAAAACTTCATCTTACTTACATTGGGCATGTGATCAGGGGAGGTCAATTCCTGCAAAAAGAACATGCTGACAAAATCAGAAGTTTAGTAAAAAAGAGGAAGATTCTCAAGGATATGGATTACCACATTGACTACAACAATGGGCTTAGGCACGGGGGAGACTGTGAGGATGACACAGAAGAGGGTAGGGTCTACTTCTATTGTGCTTAGGATCACTATGAATTGGAGCCAACCAGACATCACCTAGGCACAATAACATTTTTAGGAGGGGAAATAGATACATTTCTTGGAGAAGATGAAATGTTATTCCTGTATTGAGAAGGACATTTTCATTATTCCATTATGGTCAGAAAAGAAATATAATCTACTTAGTAAGAATAGTTAGAATTGCATTGAAAAGATTAGTAATGCAGTAGAAAAATGTTTCTTACACTTATTCCACTTAATTTCCATAGACACACAGTTTAAACTATTTGTATTTTATCTCAAAATATCATAAAAAGAGAGATCCTGTGTAGTCAGCATATCGCCCTTGTTAATAGGTGTCAGAAAGAGTACTGCCACCTCTGGGCCTGGTTCTCCTAGAGATGATATGCAGTCATCACAGTGATTTGTCCAAAGGTGAATATTAATGAGGTCTACCTCCTTTCTTTCCTGGCTGGAGAAGGAACAGTATAGCATGAGTTCTGCATGTATGCTAATGAGATTGGAACCCTGGAGAGGAGCCAGCTGTTGATTGTTAAAAGAAATAAAATGATAGGTCACAGATATAAGTCAAGGCATTTCAAAGCTGATTTCTAGTGCACTTGTCCTCAAGTCATAGAGAACAAGCTCTGTGGCAGAAGGAGCCGTAAAGATCCCCATGCAAAATGAGTGAGAAGGAAAGTGAAGAGAACAAAGAAGTGGTTCTTGGCCTTCCTCTGGCAATGCATTACATAAAATACAGCAGAGTCGCCAGGCTTGAGATGGAGCTTTGGTTTTTCTTTTTTCATAAACTCCACATTTACTTGGGTATTTATAAAAACAATTAATAATGTGGTGTCCTTTGGTTACTAGGGAATTTTGCTTCCCTTTGTCCTTTCCAGTCTTTCTGGTAATTTATTTTAGATCTTTGTCATCTGCCCCACCTTCTCTATCAATAAGCAAGAAGTTTCCTAAACTTGAACAATTTTTTTGGTCTTTTTAATGTCTCTTGAAAACCTTACCTACTTCCATAGCTACTATGTGTTGGCTCCTCCCCAAAGGTATTTTGATGTCCTAAATGTACAAAACCATAAACACAACATTATTTGGTAATGGAGTCTTTGAGGATATAATTAGTTGCATTCACATAATGTCATACTAAAGTAACTTATGGTCATAGACTAAATTCTGACTCAAATTTTCCTTTATTGGGTTTCTGAGATGTTTCTCGGGAAAAAAAAAATTGGGCCATCTACTCTGGTAGCTTAATCCATAGAGAGTTAATGCTGTAGCCCAAAGGCTGCACCTATCTGGGAGTTTGGATGTACCAGCAATTCAGTAGGAGAGATATGGGCAATCTCTTCTTGTCTCACTGAACCTAAAAAAACCCAAAACGCAGTGATGGGTCAGCTATGAATCAGTTTTGACTCAACAACAGTGAGAGCTGCATTTGTAAAGATTTACAACCTTGAAAACCTAATTTTAGTGACCTAGTTTTTAGTGACCCTCAATGGTCACTTTGAATTGGAATTGAATCAATAGCAGTGGATATGGAATTTTTATAATACATGTATCAGGAACTAGGCATATAGGTATGACTGAGATATGCTCTTATTCTGGAAGCCCTTACTGGTATCATCATAAGAGTTTATTACTTTCTCATAGGGCAATGCAGGAGAATGTGCATTTATTAAACTGGAAATAATTGTTCACCCCTTTATTAAAGCATCATGTTTTATCTGGCAAACTCAGAATTGAAAACGTTACAATTTTAACTACCACACTGAGGAGAGCCAGATACTATGTTTGTCTTGTCACTGACAGAAAATATATAAGAAAGGAAAGCAAATTCATTACAGTATTGTTGACTGTGATTATGTAGTTTTCTCATTAACATTATTTCACAATCACCTCAGACTTAAAATGTCTTGCAATAGGGAAACTTTATATCATTCAGCATTACTTCCCACCTGATGCTGGAAAGCATTTCTAGAGATGCAAACAGTAACAATAGTCAAAATATTTATTGAATTATAGTATATATACAGTGTTGTTATAAAGAGTGAGATAAGAAAATACTTAACTTATGGTCTTGATTAGCTCATAGAACTAATTATTGTTGTGTACCAACCCATAGCTGACCTTCCGGTGGGTTTTCAGAGTCAGTTAATTGCATGGGAGGAACTTGCTCATCATTCTCCCATGGAGCAGCTGGTGGATTCTAACTGAATGAGTTGGGGTTACAATGCACTTCTTGCCACAAGAACCAGAGCTCCATAGATGTAGTACCATATATAATAATCATGTTGCTGTGGAAATGAGAGGAGGAAAGGAAGAAATATTATTAGAAGAACACTTAATTTGAAACTGGATAGTAGGGATAAATATCAAGATTTTCTAAAAGATTAAAGGTCGTTTATTGGATACTTTGGAGGAGGGGGAACATAAACTCTGAAATTACATTACCATAATGAAACTTTGAGTTATTTGGTAGAAAAATGTTAGTTATGAGTAAAGTATACATAAGCAAAGGTAAAGAATATTGTTTTCAGATGTCTTTTCATGCATGTATGAAGACCCCTGTCTTCAAATTTGACTAGATTTTGTTTGTCTGTTTTTGAAATCTTTTCTAAGAATTGCCCTGGTGGAAAATATTCCTGAAGGCCTTAACTATTCAGAAAATGCACCATTTCACTTATCACTTTTCCAAGGCTGGATGAATTTACTCAACATGGCCAAAAAGTCTGTTGACATAGTGTCTTCCCATTGGGATCTCAACCACACTCATCCATCAGCATGTCAGGTAAGCTGCATCCTTTATGTGTGAAATGTTCTTACTTATGTGTGTATTACCCCCTTGAGTTTTCTTGTCTTCCACTTTTCAATCTCATTTTTTTTAAAAAATATACCCTCACTCCATAATATATGTGCATCATTATACTTATGTTCATGTGCCTTTGTTAATCATATGTGTCTCAGTTCCTAGAATGTTGCTCTTCTAAGGACAAAGTCATGTTTCAGCTTTGTAAATGGTCAGCTGTGGCCAAAACTCTGCTGGGTCCACAGTTTGAAAATATGCCAATTCTATTAATCTCCATCAATAGCATGTCCCAGAGTTGTAATGACTGTAAATAAGGTGTATAGTCTGGGAATGAAACTAGAGTCTGCCACATGGAAAGCGATTATTTCTAACATCAAATCACCATTACCAAGTGATACATGTGAGATGATGGGAAACAGTTAAGTATCTGCTCAATGGATTGGTTTATTTAGGAATAATTTAAGGTGAGTGTTATTTTGAAAGAAGATAACAGAAGTTTCATTCAAGTTACTCAGAAAACCAATGTACTAGGCTAGGTTCTCTAGAGAAGCAAAATCAATGCTAACTGTTTACTTGGGAGGGAGGGAGAGAAGGGAGACAGGAGAGAGACAAGCAAGAGGGAAAGGGGGAGGAGAGAGCAAGAGAAAGAATGAATATGAATAAGAATATATATAAAAAATTAACAATAATAATAATAATAAATGGAAACCCCCCCAAAAGAACAAAAAAAAGAACTGACTCAAGATTTTGTATAGTTACAGAAGTTGAAAATGTCAATATTGGCAAGTAAGAATAACAGATTGTTATTCTTCTTGTTATGTTGTTAGGTTCCATCAAGTCGAGTATAACTCATAGCAACCCTATGAACAATGGATCTGAACACAGAAAGCTAGCCAACTCCACCAAACTTATATACTAAATGCAAGCCATACCTCCAATGAAGTTGTCTTTCAGTGGATTGGCTGCTCCTAGAAAATCAAAGGGAAAATCAAAGGGAATGATCCTATCATAACTGTAAAAGAAAAATCTTGACAGCCAAGTTGGCACATAACCTTAACCATCACTTTCCACCAATGGTCAACATGACACTTATAAATATGTCCTTAAAATGTAATTACAAAAATCATACTGATATCTAACAGGATGCTACTAACAAGCTTAAAATTAAAAAAAAAAAACACACACACACACCAAAAAACTAGGTCTGCTTATAGCTTATATTTTTTATTGAAAAATTAAAACTGTTTTGTGAACCTGAACAAGGAATAAATGCTAATGAGGCTCTTCATTTCTATAGTTGTTCACATGGTCATAACTTGTATTTAGACCCCCCCCTTTTCACCATTCAGTAGGTATTTATCTTTCCCTTAATAAGCCGTCAACTAGTTATGGTTCTTTGCCAAGTGGGATGGTAAATATTTATTCCTAAAGGCTTTGGGCCAATAATAATCATATCAGAATCAGGTTGCTGTAATTTTCTATTCCATGAATCATCAATCAGTTTGTTGTACCAAGGTGAGGGTTACCGTGCAAGTTACTGTGATGCTGGAAGCTATGCCACTAATATTTGAACCATTAGCATGGTTACCCATGATAAATTGGTCTAAGGAGAGCATCTAGTCTAAGAAGCAGGAGTGAACATCTTTTTCTAAACAAATAGGTCCTTTAATAGTCACAGAATATTGTCCACCAGACTGCTAGAAGATAAGCCACTCATGTTGGAAGGCACTCAAAACAAAACTCAATGAAGACACTACTTTAAAGATGTAGATGGAATAAAGCTTTCATCCAATGAGAAGAAACATCTGCAAACATTCATTAATATTTGAAATATAAAATAGATAAAGTATGAATCTTAGACAATTGGTTGTTGTAAAAAATGAAATGGAACACATTAAGATAAAACACATTAGACACTGATGACATAGCTGCTATCTCAAAAGCACATGATTTGAATCTACCAGGTGCACCAGGAAGAAGAATGGGCAGTCTCCTTCCATACATTTACTTTCTCTGAAAACCCACTGGATTTATGGGTTGGTTACTATGCAATGGTACACAACAACAAGTAGTAAGGTATAATGAATTGATACTGCCATTTTGAACCAGAAAAAATAATATCATAAAAAATGGCAAAGAGAAGACTGGAATAATACTCATTTTAAAAAATAATATTTTAAGAGATGGCCTGAAATGCAGTGCTTTCAGTGATAAAGTAGTATCTATGTAAATACAAGGAAGACCTATTAATATGACTATTACTCAAATATAAGCAATAACTACTAAATCCAAAGATGAAGAACCTGAGGGTTACTATCAACTTCTGCACTCAGAAATTGATTGAATGTGCTAGCTAACAAGAGTCATTAATTATAATGACTGGAGAGTAGAAATTGGAAACAAAGGATTGGTCATTGGAAAATATGGCCGTGATGATAGAAATAAAGCTGAAGATTATATGACAGAATTTTGTGCACTTACACATTGCAAATACAGTACCATTTAAAAATTTAAATGAATACTATACATGGAATTCATATAATAGAAGATTTAAGCATGAAATATACTACATCTGTGGAAAAGTATCCTGGAAAACTCAGTATCCTCAATCAGAACAAGGGCAGGAGACAAATGTGGAGCAGATAATCAATTGCTCACAACCTAGTACAAACTGAAAGTGAAGAAAATGAAAGCAAGTCTTTGAGAGTCAAAATATAAAATTCCATTTATGCCACCAGTATGTAAAACTATTTCAAGAATAGCTTTAATGCACTTGTGAACATTCATGATGAAGACCAGATGACAGTAAGGTTATCATATGTGAATGAAGTTAAATATCATTAAAAATATGAGAAAGAAAAGGCCAAAACAGATGTCAGAAGAACCTCTGAGAAAGAAATCAAGAACGCAATACCATTTACAGTAGCCAACCACAAAGTGAGATACTTGGGAGTGAAACTAACTAGAGTTACAAAAGACCTATACAAAGAAATATATAGAACATTTTTGCAAGACACAATCAAAGACCTAAAGAAATGGAAAACTGTGCCCTGTTCATTGATAGGAAGACTCAACATCATGAAAATGACAGTCCTACTAAAAGCATTCTACATATTCAATGCTATCCAGCAAAGATAACAAATTCATTTTTCAAGGAGATCGAAAGGGAAACAGTCAAGTTTATTTGGAGAGGAAAGAGACACCAAATAAGCAAAACACTTCTGACAAACAAAAATAAGGTGGGGACATGGCACTTCCTGTGACCTCAAAGCCTACTACACAGCAGTAGTAACCAAAACAGCATGGTACTGGTACCATGACAGGCACACAGACCAATGGAACAAAATTGAGAACCCCAAAATAGACCCAGCTATCTATGGTCAACTGATATTCGACACGGAAATAAAACCTATCAAGTGGGGAAATGACAACCTCTTCAACAAATGGTGCTGGCAAAACTGGGCTTCCACCTGCAGAGAAACAAGATCTACACCTCATCCCATACACAAAAATCAACTCGGAGTGGATCAGAGACCTGGGAGTAAAGATCAAAACTATAAAGTTCATAAGAGACAAACTGGGATCAGGTCGGAAGCTCTAGTCCACAGTAAAAAGAGACTGCCAAATACAGCCAGAAATGTACAACTTGGAGAGGATGAAGTTGATGAATGGGCCCTTCTAAAGATTAAATCCCTCTGTGTATCAAAAACTTTCTCCAACAGTATGAAGGAAAACCTACTGACTGGGAGCAATTATTTGGTAATATCATCTCAGACAAGAGTCTCATAATGAAAGTTTACAGAATATTCTTGGGCCTCCACAAGAAAAAGACTGATAGCCCAATTACAAAATGAGCAAAATATATGGAAAGAATATTAACAGAGGAAGATTTGGCAGACACATTTAAAACTACTCCAAATCACTGGCAATAAGAGAGATACAAATCAAAAACACAATGAGGTAACCATCTCAGTCCAGTAACAGTGGCAAAGTTTAACAAGACAGCAAGTAATAAATGTTGGAGATGGTGTGGAGAGATAGGAACTCTTATACATTGTTGGTGGGATTGTAAAATAGCACAACTGTTTTGGAAGGCAGTTTGGCACTTCCTCAAAAAATTGAACATAGAAATTTCATATGACGCAGCTATTCCACTGCTTAGAATATACTCTGAAAAAATGAGAACTAAGGTACAGAGACTTGTACAGCAATATTTATAGCAGCCTTAGACACCATCACAAAATCATGGAAACAATCCAGATGTCCAACTACAACTTAATGGATTGTGAAATTATGGTACATTCATACAATGGAATACTGTGCAGCATGCAAGAGCTATGATTTTTTAAAATTACCATCTAACTTGAGAAGGAGTGAAAAGCATTATGCTGAGTGAACTAACTCAGTCCCACAAGGACAAATACTGTATAAAACCATTATTGTAGAATGAGTATGAGGATCCAAGGTGTGTGTGTGTGCAGGGAGGGTGGAAGCAGAAGGTTGAGAATGTGCAGGGGGAGGGGGATTAATCAATGGGTTGTACAATTTGATTGAGAGGTGAGTGAGGGAAATTGGAAAAATCTGGTCTGGAAAAAATAATGTATTTGAATTTTTTAGATAAACTAGTAGAATAAAAAAAATAAAAAAATGAAGAGACTCTGAAACTTGCTCTTAAATGTAGAGAATCCAAAGAAATAATCAATAATGAAATGAGAACTGAACAGAAAGGCAACTGAAGGAAACAAAGTGTTTTAACAAAATGTGCAGAGACCTGGAATTCAAATACCAAAAGAGAACAAGGTTTGTGTTTTGCAATCTTAAGGAAATGAAGAATAAATTCAATTAAAAAACAAATTATTCAGAAGAAAAAGACTCAGTTACAAAATGGGCAAAAGACATGGGAATACTTTTCACAGGTGACATTCAGGTGGCCAACAGGCACATGAAGAAATGTTCAAAATCACCAGCAATAAGAGAAATGT